GACACAAGAGTCACTCACAAAAGGGACGTGTTCTCAGAAATCTGGATGTCTCTTTCCCCCATCACTGGGAGGTCTTGAATTTGTCTCTGGATGGAGCCCAGGGCTTTTTCCTCCCTTCTCAGATCAAAGAAGCCACAGTCTGTTATCAAGAGGTGCCCTTCCCATGTGCTATTTAAGTCATTCCTGCCCAAGGAGCCCTTTCCCTCGGCAACTTTCCCAGGGCAGGCAGCCCGCCTGCGGGGCGGATGGAGTCTGTGAACCCTCACCGCACCAAGACTCCCCACCCTCCCCGATCCTCCCCAAAGAATGGCCACAAATTAGCAAGCAGGGGCTGCGTGTTGTCACCGGAAAGAGGGTTGACGCCTGGCATGGCTCTCAATTAGTCAAGTGTCATTATCCTAAACACTCCTTGACCCCTGGCTTCCCTCCTGCGCCTTCCCTCTCGGGACACTGGTGTGGCTCTCAGCCACCCTCTTGGCACAGAGCTTTTCTTCTGGCATGGCTGAGAAAAGGCTTTTGGTGGCTCCCAGCATCTGCATGATGGGCTTGTTTTCTTTGGCCACGTCACAGTCCCTTAAGACAGGATGGGTTGTGTCTGGTACAAGTCCTGGAGCTCCGTCCCTGGAGAGCTGCTGAGCCCTGGGGAGAGGTGCCGCAGGAGGCAAGCGGAGGGTGAGCGGCTGTCGGGAGAAGCACAGCATGGAGCTGGAGGTCAAGAAGCAGCCTGCTGAGAAGAGCAGAGAGAAAACACAACCTGGCCTCAAGGGTGACAGAAGATACTGGCGAGGAAGGCAGTGGGGATCATGCAGATTTTCCTGGAAGGGGTAAATCTGAGTTGGCTGAAGACTGACCGGGGAGCAGGGGTGGTGGGAAGGGGATGTTTATTCCAAGCTCTTTTTATTTCTGTTCTGCTGGTCTTGGGCCTTTCTAGTTTTTCTCTATTTTGAAAATGGAAGCATCATACCTCCTGTTCTAACAAAACCTGCCCTTCTGGAGGGTAAACACCTTTGGTCCTTCCAGGGCACCCGCTGCAAGAGATGGGTCCAGGAAACCAGCTCCGAGCACCGGGCTGGCGCTGGCCTTCTCACACACTGTCCTTTGACCAACCTTCTCCTAATGAGAGAGGTGGCTTGTCCCTGTGGGCTCCCCGCTGCACCGTGGTGTCTGGACTGCTCTTGGTGGAGCTGAAAAGATGACAACGGTACAGTAACACACAAAGGGTAAACCCGGGTAGTTGAAGGTCAGCTCACACAACCTCAACCTGGCCAACGCAGGACACGAGACCACTGCTCCAGGAGGAACTGCGGAGGATGCACGGAAGGGCGATTGAGGCAGCCTGGGGCACAGGGAGACATGGAGAGAGCTGGGCTGGCTGAGCCTGCTAATGAAGACACTAAGGACTAACTCAATCACAGCTACCACTGCTCGGAGAGCAGTTAAAAGAGGATGGAAAGTCGCTCTTCCATCACCGGGGCAGGTGATGCAACAAGGGGCTTGAGCCACAGATCAGGCTGGAAATTCTGAAAAGCATCTTCCCCAGGAGGGTGACATAGTCCTGGGACAGGTCAGCAGAGAGGTGGACTCTTCCAAGACTCAGAAGAAACCACAGCCTCCCAACCTACTCCTGGTGACAGTCCTGCTGCAAACAGGAGGGTGAATCAGAGACCCCAGATGTCCCTTCCACAAACCCTGATGGGATCCTATGCCCAAATCAGGCACAGCAGCATGACTTTGTGGAAGTAGCTCTTGTCAAACTGTCTTGATTCTTTCCCTGATCTCAAGACTTCAGCAGAGGGCACAGCCTTAAAGTGTGCTGGGCTCAGCGTCAGCATCATCTGCAACACATGAAACCAGTTTTGAACAAGACCAGCACTCGGTGGGGACTCATGCTGTGTCCAGCACAGTGCAGGCAGCACCTCTCCCTAAAATTATCAGAGATCTGGGAGAGAATATCAAAAACACTGCTGGCAAATCACTCATAAAGTGTCCAAATTGGCAGTGTTGGGAGTGACAAATTCTCTGCAGAGCAATGATCGTGGCTTGATGGCTGAGCCCATGAAAATAATTCTAAGGTTGTGCTTGGGTCTGGTCTTGCTGGCAGAATGGGAGACTGCATCCAGGGAAGCAGCATCTGAAGGGACCAAGTCAGAAGCCACCAGGGAGGTAAGAGCTGCTGGCATGGATGAGTGAGGTAGCACTTTACACTTGGATGTGTAAAGGGAACAATGAGACCAGCAGGGAAAATAGCTTATCTGCTACCAGGTACAATATCTAGTTCAAAAAACCACGATGAATGTAGAAGTGTCCACAAACAGCTGTGGGAAGATCCACATTCTGGAAAGCCACCTCGTAGCAAGAAAAGGTGATCAAGCTTGGTCTAATTACCTCTTATTTTTCCTTGAGAGAAGCTACCCACTGCCTGTGTCTACATGAGGAGTCGTGTCCTACTACCACAGCACAACAGCAAAACAAGTTCTGCTGATGTAAAGGCAAATGTTAGCGAAATCCAAACCTCGTTGGAGAGGGCTACAACAGCAATGACCACAGCCATCTTTCTCTGGGAGAACAAGAAGGTGAATGGTGTGCCACCCTGTTTGATCTCAACTTTCTTTCCCTTTTGGGATGATGGTCACCATGGTGTCACACCCCCCCAGTGCCACTCCTCCCGCCACACTCAGTAGCTCTCCTCTGGCTGTTCTGTGGGGATCGTTTTCTCCCTCACAGCAGCTTTTTCCTGGGATGCTGAGGAATTTATGATGCCTGAAGGTTAAAGACGCTGCTGGTGACATGGTCCCAAAAGCACCAGGCACAGCGGTACCTCTGTCCCCCAGCAGCGGTCCATTTATCCCCGGGTGAACCAGGGCGATGTTGCCTTCCTCTCTTCGGGGCGGGGAGGTCCCCGAAGGCCAGCATAGTGGGTGCTTTGCAGGGAGGCCATTGTCCGGCTGCGGCAGGAGCACAACCCCATCACGTACCCAAGTTCTCTGCTCTGCCCGGGGTGGAGACCCAGCTGTGTGCTCAGCCCAGAGCAAAGGCAGAGGGAGGCTGGAATCGCGGCTTCCCCAAGCTCATCCCTCCCCTCCCTCTGCACTCTGTCCTCTCCCTACAACACCCTCCCTTCTCCTGTCCCAGCTCTGCCTTTGTGTCTGCAGCTTCTGTTACCAACTGCTAATGATCTACATCAAGGCTGCCAGGCGGTGCCGAGCTTAAGCAGAAGAATTCGGAGCCTCTAATTACAGAGGAATTAGCAAGCAGACAGTTACTGTTTAGTGCTAATGAATAGATACATTAAGAGAGACATCACACAGGCTGAGAAGTGTGAGCCCTGATAATAAAGGAGTGTCAAACAAGGAAAACACAAGGAGGAGGATGCAGGGGACTGAAAAGGATTCGCCTGCAGCTCAGCTCTTGGGCTTTGCTAAGGTGGAAGGAGCCACACTGAGGTTACAAGCACACCACACAACTGCAAAGTGTAAAATCGAGCACTGAATAACATCCATAGCGTGGGACAATGTTGGGGGTGTACAGAGCCCCTTCCCAGACCCAGCTAGCACCGCACACATCTCATCTCCATCAGCCAGCTTAGGAAGGTGCAACAGGTCACTGTCCCAGACCAGCTCCTCTCTCCTCGTCATCTGTGAAGTGATCCTGCTAGCAGTGAAACCACGGTTCAACGCTGTGCTAAACCTGCCTCCAGGGCTTCTGATACCGTACTGAAAACACCCTGACCCCGCAGCTCCTGGGCTAACTTAAGACCAGAGGTCACTCTGCTGGTTCATGGGTGACCAAGACATTTTTGCAGGTGACCTCTGTCTCGGTGCTCTGCATGCCCAACCAAGTGATGCCCATCTGCACCACTGCTGCTTCACCCCAGACCAAACACCTCCTGTCCCCTGCAGCCAGCACACACCATTGTCTCCAGGTAATTCACTGGAAATGCAATCATCCACGACTGCCAAATTCAGTCTTGAAGGTCATGTAGTGCCCAGGGAAGCCTGGGGCATGTTCACGCTCCCCACACACTTGCTGCAGCACTCACAGGGCCCACAGAAACTTGCTCACTCCCACATATGCTTGTACCTTATTGGCATGCTTCCACCATGCAATGGGATTAACCAAAGCCCCAGCCCCAGTCTGTGCTCAGCTCCAGATGGCTTCCAGGTAGGCTGGGGAGAGCAGCCCCTGACCAGCAGCTCCTCAGGGCACCCTGCCACCAGCACAGCTGCTGCCTGGTGAATCTTCCAGGAGCAGCACTACCAGCCACCCTGACACATCCCCTCCCCCAGCAAAACCACCCTGCACAGGAGCATAGCAAACCCCCAGGCCAGCACAGAGCTTGAGACCCTGTATGTAACCCTTCCAGCTCCGCTGCTTGGTCTTCTTCACCAAGGAGACTCTGCAGCAGCACAGGACCTGGAACAGCTTTCCATATATCACCCCGTATATCCATCTCCCAGCCCCTCTGCTGTGCAACTTTCCTCTCATTTCACATCCCATCCTGGCTTCCTCTGCAGTCAGAGCAGAGATTGCAGCTTGTGTCAAAATGCCGGGCTGCAGCAAGGCTGCAAGGGGCTGCTCTGTCTGCAACACACCGACGGTGCATGCAACTGATGCTCTGAGGCAACAACCCCAGGAACAGTCACACGCCCAGCGCTGGGGAGGGATGCTGAGACACCAGGGGACAGTGGCATGAGCTGTTCTGCTGCAGTGACGGGGAGTGCAGCTCTGCCTTGGGGCACACCCCAGCTTTTCACTGAAATAAACTATATTTTTCACACCTGAGGCTTGGAATTCATCCAGCAATTGCCAGGATGGTGCCCTTTGGTCATCGCCTGCATTACGGAGCGAGCAACACCATATCACGTCTCAACCCACCTCTTCTCCCCTTCCAGCCCTGCTCACTCTGCAGGGTTCCACCAGCACCTCTTGCCCAGGAGACCTCTGCCCACCACCTCCCCTTCCTGGAAAGGTCTGCTGGGAGACACAGGTAGAAGTCTTACCAGCCTGGTTGGTGGTGATGTTCACCGATGCAAACTGCGGGGAGAAGGGGCTCTGGTCGGTGACGCCATTCACCGCCTGGATCTCGAAGGTGTACTGGGTGTGGGCCAGCAGGTCGCTGATGTAGATGCGGGGCTCGGTCAGACCCAGCTGGCGGGGGGCGAACTGCACGTTGTCCCCGCAGCGCGTGCACGCCCCGCGGCCGGAGCCACAGCTCTTGCAGATGATGTTGTACACCAGGTCCTCCCGGCCCCCCGAGTCCCGCGGTGGGGTCCACTCCAGCATCAGAGAGGTCTCGTTCACACTGGAGATGACGGACTGGGGGGCAGAGGGAATGGCTGTAAAGAGAATAAACAGAAAGGTGTAAGAGCCCGAGCCCTGCTCATCACTACAGGACCAGCTGTCTGTCCTGCACCCCATCCTTTTCCCTGTCCCTGGATAGGTCTCCAGCAGGCACCTGATGAGTCGGGCACTTTTCTTGGTGATGTGTAGAGTAAGCTGGACAGCCAAGGGCAGGAGCAGGAACAAAACGTGTCCTCTCACCCCGGGTTAATTTGATTATGTGGCATCCCTGCCAAAATTCACCGGTCATTTTTGTAGCGTTTCTGATTCCTGGCCTTTGCACTAATCTCCTGCGTGCCAGCACACAGGTCTTCTTGTCTGTGTACCACCCCAGAGAGAAGTCACCACACTGCCTACAACAGCACAAAACAACCCAAATTTCAGTCCTCTTTGCAATGTTTGCAAGTGCAGACTGCCCCAAGGTAAGAAAAACCCATGCTGCAAGGCTCCTCTGGACGAGGTGCTCTGAGCCCCCAGACTCCTCCAAAATCCCACCGAGACAGATGGTTTTGTTAAGCACCCTCAGTGCTTTGACCGATGCGTGTCTCCTTTCCTAGGCGCACGCGGCCCCTCCCCAGTTGCCCAGAGCCCACATACTGGTGCATGGCATGTCGACAGGATCAGCATCCGCCCGGTAATACCCATTTCGGCACACGCAGTTAGTGGCCCCTTCTGAAGTCGTCCGGCTGTTAATCGGGCAGTGGACACATCCTTCATCCCCTTGGCTGGCCTTGAACGTCCCCAGCGGGCAGCCTGGAAGAGAACCAAGAGCAGCAGTGAGTGGCGAGGACCGGGGCTGGCGAGGATGCCCGGAGCCAGAAAACACCCTTTGAAGCACTGCAGAGTCTGAAGCCAAAACTTGACAATTTGAAGTAAACAAAGTGGAGAAGGAGCAGCTGGTTCGAAGGCTCTGAGTCCCGTCCCACCCTCCAACAATTTATAGCTCAGAGACTTTCTAAGAGGCAGGCTCTTTGCATTTAGCATCCTTTGTGGGATGTTTCTTCCGCTAAGTTACCCAGTCACTTTCTTACTCCATGTCAACTTTTTGTGCCCATTTTACCCTGCAGCACAGAGCCCCACAGTGTGATTTTGTGCTACATGAACAAACTGCTGCCCTCTGCTCTGGAGCTGCCTGCAATCTCACTCGCATTGGCAATGAACCCTCGATCGCCATCCACCTTCTCCGTGACCTAGGGTTCCATAAACCTCCATCACGCCCCAAGCAAGCTGCACAACACCACTCCCTATTTTATTCTCTACTCTTTTCCCATAAATATCAATGTCCAAATTATTTTTTAACCACCAATGGACCAACTGGACTACCTATTATAGCCCCAAGGTCTCATTCCTGAGAGACACTGGCCAACTCCCTGCATGTGCGTGTGTGTGTGAAGTTGGAATTGTCTTCTCCCACTTGCATCACCTCTTGTCTGTTGAATTCCTATTGCCTTCTCACTCCTCAGTCACGCTGTCTCGTAAGATCCTTTCGCAACTCTCCGCAGTACTCAGCATCACAAGCAAATCGTCACTTCTGCCATGACCAGCAGCTGCGTGCTGGGGTCTACCTCCATTGGGGCTCAGAGCTCGAAGCCACTCACAGATGAAGAACACGCGCCGTTAGCAACGGCCGCTCGACAAACACAGCCAGGCACGGTGGGCGAGGGCAGCACAGGGGGTGCGCAGTGCCTGCAGCAGACGAGCGCTGAAGGCTGGACCACAGCGTGATGTACACTGATAACAGATACAGCGCGGGTGGCTAAAAATATCAACGCAAAGCTTTAAACATCAGAAAGTCCTTTCCAAGTCAGGGGATCACCAGCACCAAGCAAAAGGTCAGCTATAAGCATTTATCGGCACGGCTCTCAGTGATTACTCTTGGTTGCGACTTTCCGCCGCTGTTCATTTCTCGTGCAGCACAAAGGGCCTGGGGGGTGGCAGGTGGTTTCCGCACTGAAACTAGTTAAACAAAGTTCTACCTCAGTTTGCTGACAAGGCTTTCAGGAAAGAGGCAGATCGCAAAAACAGCCTGGGAAAAACAGACACTCGGGGTTGCTGTAAGCAAGAGCTATTATGGAGAAGTAGCTATTTTTTTTCTTTGGGGAAAAAAAAAAGGTTTTTTTCAGTTTTCATCCCTTACTTCAAAATTATTTTGAGTTTCCAACAAGAAAAGCTCTACAGAAAAATACCATCAGCCTTCCTCCTTGCAAAGTCCCTCCTGCCTCCTGCAGTCAAAGGATCTGTTGAAAAACTGGCTTCTCCTCATGTTCCTGGATCCTTCCACCCTTGCTGTCCTCGGTCCCCCGCGTGTTTAACCCAATTTCTGACCCTATTCCCAGCATATCCCTCGGTACAAACCCATCTCCGAGGGTGTTAAGCCGCTGGGAAAGGTGATGGCTGGTGCACCTCTCTGTTACAGAGGAGCGCTGGTGGCTCTGTGGCTGAAATGATAACAGGGTCCCCGTACCAACACCAATTTTTGTAACATGATAAGCCCAACACACACAATTGCTCTAGTCTGACATCCAGGGTGAAATACAGGGTCATTTGATCAAAGGCGTGCTGAGACACGGGCCTCTTTCACCTTCCTGAGTCTTATTTTTAAAATAACAACTTTCCTATAAGGTTTCTTCTGCATCAAGATACATCAAAAAAATGCGAACACTGCTGATATTTAGCAACTGGCCCCGAGAGACAAAAAAAATTCCCCTGGCACAGGCTGACAGCTGCAATTAATACTTCTGCGTGCGCTGCTCTTAGAGAGGGGCAAAAATTGGGGGCTGAATAATTGTTCACCAAAAATACCCAGCTGGGATGCTAGAACCCTTTGCACGTGCTGTCAAAACACAGAAGTTTGGGCAACTTTCTTTTGTCCCATGCAGTTACATGGGACAAAATAATCCTGGAAAATCAGAACTTCTCCAAAGAGAAATGTTCTGAAATCATGCTGAAAGATGGGAAAATCACTGAAATTTGATGCAAAGCCCTTTTTTTTTTTTTTTTCTTCGCCTCAAGTAATGACAACCTCCAGAAGTAAAATAAACAAACACTGTTCCAAACAGTTTTGTTCCCTCCAGGTCTTCCTCTGGGTGAGAAAACAGCTTTTGATTTGGAATCCATCCAATTCCTTGTTTCCAGAGTAAACAGCAAATCAAAACTGAAATCTTCACACAGGAGTTAAACCCCCTCCTGTTCAAAGAGCATGGATGTTCTCACCACTTGCTGGAAGACACAAGGACACCCCAGTTTTCTGCCCTGTGTGGGGACAGCAGCTTTGGGACATGCTGCCTCCCCTTAGGCTTGTATCGAGGGCAGAGCACCCCTATAAACACCCACTTGGAAACAGGGAATCGAAACAGCGAAAGCACAGAAATTTCTACTTTATCAGAGCATCTTTCATCCCAGGAGGGCAACTACCATGACAGCGACTCTGGCCCCATTGCTGAAGCAGGGATGGTCTGCAGCTTCCCACATGGTGGGTTCCCGCACCCCCAGCACCGATGGGAGGATTTTCACTGTGTGGGGGGTGAGACACTGGCACAGGTTGCCCAGAGCAGCTGTGGATGCCCCATCCCTGGAGGGGTTCAAGGCCAGGCTGGATGAGGCTTTGGGCAACCTGGGCTGGTGGGAGGTGTCCCTGCCCACGGCAGGTGGGGGGGAACTTGATGATCTTTAAGGTCCTTTCCAACCCAAACCATTCTATGATTCTATGATGCTAATAGGGGTTCATGGGAAACATACGGACCTTTAATTTGCCTCGCTGCTGCACGTAGGCATGGACAGCTGCCTCGCTGGGGTATGGCTCAGAGACAGCAGCGGGTTTGCTACGAGCTGTAGCTCTCTCAAACAAGACTGGGAATGCACGAGCAGTGCTGGGTGTCCTCGTTTCCCATCCACCAATTCCCAGGGCACGGAGAGGTGGTGATGCCTGAGAAGGCAGGTGCTTTGGGAAGGGAACGCCATGGGGAAAGACCCATGAGGGGTCCTGCCCTCCCATGTGGGAGGACCACACCAGGGATCCGGGAAGGAAGACCATTTCTGCTGCTGGAGGCAGCGTTGGCACGAGGCTTCCAGCCCCCATCCCCACAGCGCTGCCTGCCCTGGGGCAGCCTGGCAGAGGAAGGCAGAGGAAGGCAGAGGAAGGCATTCTGTGGCTCACCCTGGAGAAAAAGCCTTTGGCCAAAGGTGCTAGAGGGGCCACAGGGGTTCCCCGTTTGCTGTCCCCGTGTCCCACTGCCTTTCGCTAACCAGCTTTTTAATTAATCCAGTGTGAGCTGAGCAGGCTCCAAACAGGCTCCTCTGCCATCAAAAACTGCCCCAGCCTTCCGAGCCCACCCCAGACCGCTCCTGCTAACAGTGCAGAGCACAGAGCTCGCTCTCGCAAGAGAAGTTTCCACGATGGCACCTTCACTGCGTGCCAACGGCTCTGCGGAGGGCTTCTCCTCCGCTCCCTCCGCCTGGCTTTGCTCCTCCTGGCAGCAAGGCTCCTTCCACTCCAGCAAGGCATTTTTAACAGCTGATGGAAAACAGGCAGCCCTGGCTCTGTCAGTTAGGATCCACCAAGAGTCTTAAATCCTCACCCTTATCTCCCAGCTGCCTCTTCTCCCTGCGGGGCCGGAGGCGGGGGGCAGGCAGCGGGCCCTGCAGCCCGACATCAGCAGCATCCCTGGTGCTGTGGGACCCCGGAGCAGTTCACCTTGGCCTCATCCTGCTTCTCACGTTTTCGGGAGCCCTCTCCCACAGCCCTCCCCGCTCCCACTGGCATCCTAATCACCCCACAAACGCTGTGCAAGCCTCTGGGTCCCTTGGCCACGCACCACGGGGCTGCTGCCACACTGACCCTGCGCCGAACAGCTGCCAGCAATTTGCTTTTATGGAGAATAAGGAAAACAATGTCCTGGGCCATGCCAGGAGGAGTGTGGCCAGCACATGAAGGGAGGTGTTCTCCCCTGTTGGGCACTGGGGATGCTGCCATGGCTAGTGTGGGGCTGCCCAGTTCTAGGGTGATACGGAGGAACAGGAGAGCCCAGCGGAGGGTCACCAAGGTGGCCAGCCCTGGGGCACAGGGCGTACCAGCAGAAGTGGAAAGAGCTGGGGTGGGTTAAAGGGGGCGAGGCAGAGACCTAACTGCAACTGCAGCTATTTGGGGCAGATGCACAGAAGACAGACCCAAACACTTCTCAGAGTGACAGACCGTGTAACAAGGGACAAGGACCACAAGGTCAGAATGGACATTAGGAAAAGCTCCTTCTCCAAAGGATGGTGCAGCCCTGGGGACAGGTCACAGAGGGGTGCTAGACCCTCCTTGGGGGTGGACGTGGATCGAGGCAATCCCAAGCACAGACACAGGCTGGGTGGACAATGGATGG